CCCCCCCCCCCTTCTTTTTTTTTTTTTTTCGGCTCACTCCATTCGAATCCCTTTCTGCTTCGTTTTTTCTTATTATTAGCTGGTAGGGCAAAAATAAAAAGAATATGACACGTACATTGCATCAACAGAGGTCACACAGGCAAGTGGGCTCCATGCTGATGTTCAGGGGGACATTGAGGCAGATAGCTGCTAAACAATTGTAAACACCAATCAGGATGTCATTGCAAACCAGAAAGAAACATCAGCAAGTGGAAACCTCGCCCTCGCTGATCTCTGACGATGATATTCTGGCAGAAGAAGAGAAACAGCATCGACGATATCGCTCTCTCCCCGCAATCAATCCCAATGAGGAGGCTGACAATTTTAGCATCCACAACTTTCAATATTCTCCGTTGGCTTCTCTCCTACCCAACAACGTAGGACAAGGAGGCAGGGCATTGTCTACTTGTGGTAGAAATATAAGGACAAATCCTCTTTTCCTTGCAGAAGACACGACGAGACGTTATTGTTTGCTCTCTACACAATCATCTGGGGAACAAAATAGCAAGGTAAAGCTAATACAGGGGAGTATGGTCGTACAAAATTCCTCACAACCTAACTCCTCAGATAACGGGTTACCATAAAGACAGTTGGAACCTGATAAAGGAGCAGACAATGTATTACAAGTGATGGAAAATGAGCAAGAGCTGAAAAAGGAAAATATAGTGGTGGAAATAATGGGGATAGAAAATGAGGAGGAATACCCTCCCTTGCAGAGAGAGAAAGAAAGAGAGGCGGGGGAAGGGAAGAATGAGGTGGGGAAGGGGGAGAGGAGAAGAGAGAGGAGGAGGAGGAGAAAGAGAAGGAAGGGGAGCAAGAGGAGGAAGGAAAGGAAGGAGAGGAGGGGAAGGAGGAGAAAGAGGAGAAGGGGAACACTAGGGTTATTTTGGGGAGGGGGGAGAATAAAATACGGGGAAGGGGCAAGGGAAGGAGCAACCCCCAGCGGCCTCCTGGATCTAGAAGGTTAAGGGGCCCTTTCAATCCAGCTCATTGAAAATCAAGAGAGTTGGACCTCAGGCTCAACCCCTCCGCATTCTACTCGCTAATCTTCCAACAGCGCGCACTTTTTTTCTTTCAAAATCCATGAGCCCCTTTGAAAATAAAGTAGTTGATAATGAGGGAAAGAAATCGATGGTAAAGACTTATCCGACCTAAAAGATTGCGGAAAGGGATTATGTATACCAATTACATGCAAACAACTGGGTCTTTCGCGACAATGTGGCATACAAGACAACAAATGAAAAAATAAAATAGATAGGTAAAAGACTCACACAACTTAAAGGCAGTCAGGAGGCAGTCAATGAGGATTTTTTAATCCAGCCAGTCTCCTCAACAGTTTTTCCGGTATTATGTGTGCAGATAAATGACAACGATTAATTGATGATTGGAAAAAATTGCGGTGTGATAGATCGGAAGTCAGAATTTATCCGTAGGTTCCTCAAAGGCAAGGACCGAATGAAAGGCGTCGCCAGATGATGGAGGATCATCATTATTGGGTCGAATTTCGTCATATCCCAATTGAGATCCAGGTTGCATTTGTGCACGATTTTGGGGAGACTATAGTATAAAAAGAAATGGAAAACTCGAAGGGAGCCATGACCCTCTTCAATGGACCCAAAGGGAGGAACTACAGAGAACTAGGGTTATCGAGGAGGAAGACAGCCGGCGAGTCTTCCTTCCAGAGATTCCTATAGAAAACCTCCCAATAGACCCATTGGAATGGATTTGGAATCTCGTCCCACGGCATAACCTTCGTCAATCAAATCTAAAACATTGTTGTTGTTGTTTTTTTTTTTTTTAATACAAGCTTCATCTATTGGTGGGGAGCAGCACCTGCTGGAAACCGGGTCTAGCATCCCATAGATACAATCATATAACCATATCCTCACAAATTGACACAAACTGGGAACCGGGTCCAACGTCCCATAACGAGCACGTTCTGAAGACTCATCAGAAAATTTCATGAAAATGGGACTAGAAACCTACTAAAAAAAACTAGTTGGCCTAAGAATGAGTTTTGAAAATTGAGATACTGGGGCCATTACCCGGCCTTGGCTCAGAGAATTTGGAGCTCCTTCAGACATGTCTATGACAACTTCATGATTAAGCAAAATTTAGAAACGGCTCAGAAGAACCCCCAACAATCCACTTTTCCTTACTCCGGCAAGACTGACTGCAGCGGAGCCACCATCTCTGCTGCTGCTATACCATACTCCCATCCTACCAGCTAGCCCCCTCACTGGTTGGACGCGTGATAACCCACCATCTTTTCTTTTGTGAAGAAGCTCAAGAAAAT